GACTCAAAATTGGGAGCTCAACAAATTTTGCCATTTTGCTGGGTATAAAAGTGAGCCATCTGAGAACCAGGGAGAGGAATCCCAAGACTGTCAGGAGAGCATGCAAGATCCCTAGCTGAAGCGACTGAGCAGCAGAGGCAGCAGAAGCTGAGACCATGCGAGAAGAGGCACCTCACTGAAACTATGAGGCAAAGCAGTGGGCAGGATTCCTGGCCAAGGGAGGCAGAGGTCAAGGAACCATGTAGCTTAGGGGCTGAGGACCAGAGACATGTGTCTGCCAGCATGGCTGAGAAGAGGTGCTGCCAATAAAAAACTGTATCTTTACCATTCTGTAGCATGTTAGCTTCCCTAATATACCCCACACTTATGTATATTGTCTGTGAGTTCTGTGGGGCTGTTGCCATGAATCACCAAACTCAGTTACATGGGAGGGATGGTGGTATCAGTATAGGGTAGAGAAGGGTGGAGGGTGGAGGCTTGTCTGAGATCTGCCTTGTGGCAATCAGCCTTAGGTGATGTGGGTTGGTGTTAATCTGGGTAGACTGGAGAAATTTATAAGCACTTATATGTGTGTTAAGAGAGAGTTTTATAGCCAAGAGCTATAAAAAGCATCCCAGCCCAGTCCAGATCAAGTCCTTAAGTTCGATATTAGTCCATATGTACAGTACGCATCTGTAAATTCCTCTTCAGACTCACACAATACATGCAATGATGTCAAATGCAGGAAGATCACAGGCCAGTGGGTGGAAAAGTCTTGTGGATCCAGTGGTGGTAGAAGCATCTCAGCGCTGGTGTGGGTCTCCACGTGGCTTCTCCAGGTCCAAGTCTCTGGCTGCCATCAGCATAGCTCCAGGTGGCTTGTCAGCAGGAATGTCTCACAGGGAGTGAGCGTGTGTCCTACCTGCATCGAGCTACTTATCTCCTTAACACCTCCAAATGAGGTAGCCAAGCAGTGACCTGATTGACAGGCTACACTCCAGCCCTTTACTCTTAATAGTCTCAAGTTGACAACAGATTATGTAACTACCACAGTTGGAGTCTCTTTCTACCTACTGAAGTCCGAAGGGGTCAGAGGGAGGCTCTTACACCACTCTTTCAAGAGGTGAGCTAGGTTTGGTGACCCATGTCCTGGAGCTGAGCACCTTTGAAGCTTATTGGCTGAGTGGAGTGCCTTTGGGCATTTATAGCAGAGCTAAAAGAGCTTTGCAAACACTTGTCCGGGCAGGGCACAAACCAAGGGACCATGGAGCCTGGGTGTGCCTGTGGACACTGCTGAGAAGAGGCTGTCCTGATTCTTAAAAAAATTGTATCCTGAATTATTTCTGATCCTGACTGTAACTTGTTGCTTCCCTCAACAAACTTCCTAACTGTATTGTCTGTGAGTTCTGTGTGGCCATTACTATGAATTATTGAACCCAGAAGAGAGTGCTGCGGGAGGAATGGGTAGTGTTAGGATTAGCAAAAAGGATAGAGGGTGGAGGCACATCTGTCCCACCCATGCCTTACAGGCAGATACTAATGGTAATTCTTTTCTCTCCTCCTTGTGAAGTTAGAAGAGGCAGACCCTGCCTCCAGGCCATATTTAAACCCAATCATTGTCTACTTTCCTTAAGACACCTTCCCTGTCCTTTAAGTCTAGGGTGGCCCCTGCTGTTTGGGTCGCTACAATATCCTGCAGGATTTTCTCCTAGATGAGTGGCAATGTCCAGTAAGCATTGGACTACTAACTCCACAGTGGGCCATTCAAACCCAAGTGGGAGAAAGATGAGGCTATTTGCTGTTGTAAAGACTGACACCCTTGGAAATATATATAGATATACTCACCATAAAGTCAGATTCAGCTCGATGGCAGCAAGTTGGCTTTGGTTTATGATCTCCAGGCATCTGTCTGCTCCATGCTTTTAGTTAGATTGTAATCATTTAGTGGACAAGGTGGACATTCTAAGCATCCCTCATCACTATGAGTTTTGTTCTGGGTACAGAGTGTTAAGTCCTTCAAAACACTTGCTAAAATGAACAGAAAGGTTCTGTCCTGCCTGCAAGACCAGGCAGGGCTCTCTTGGGTGATACATAAACACAGATATATTTGGAACTGGCATTCCTGACTAGTACTAAATATTTGAGGCCCTCAGACCTCAACATTTGATATAAAGTATTATTTTTCCCTATTGAAGTATCCCCTTGCAGAGAGGAGTCCCCGGGGACCAGGAGTATGACTGAAACTGGACAGACCAGATGCCAACAGAGCTAAATTTATTTTGAGGCCGCAAGTCTGGCCTCCAGGCAAAGAAGGGCCTTGTCGATCCCACTTTTTTGCTTGGATCAGAAGATTGGGCCTGGCAGAGCGTCACTGTGTGGGACAAAGAGTTCTCTGGAATTTCTAACCTTCTCTGGGCTTGGAGCGAATCAGGAACAGAAAATGCATCATTTGAATAATGGCCCTGGTTATGCCAAGCCTGCAGCAGGCCAACCAGAGGGAAAGAAAACGGTAGCGAGTCGACTAACTGGAAAGCAGTTAGACTAAGCTGCCTGGTTGAAATCCAGACTAATGCAGACTTTTGGACCAGTGACCACTTGGAAGTGAGCTTTCTGGCTGGGAAGCAGCACTCAGTATGATGGATGGAACGCACGATTGCCATGCCTTTTCCCTGGACACGTCCTCCTGCCAGATACCGGGGGACCATCTCGAGCATTTACTCGCTCCAACCGATTTCTCAATAGTTCCAGCCACAGAAAAGAAGTCGGCCAGCTTGAAGAGGTGGCCAGGTGATAGAGTCAGAAAAAACCTGCCAGGCTGCTCAGCCCAACAGTGACATTGTCATCCTGGCAGATGAACACTTAAAGGACACAGGGAAACTGGTGTCGATGCGGCAAATAGTACAGTGAAGGCCAAGTGTCGCCAGGCCAGCTGGGCAAATTCCCAGGATACCAGATCACAAGGGCTGTTACCAGGAAGCGCTGATGTTTGTTGTTTCTACTCTCTTCGCCTAAAGCTCAGAAGTCTCCTTTACCTTGTAGGCCTTGAAGTTCCCAATTAGCACACAGACAATAGTTTACTGGAGGGAGCTGGAGACCCCAGCAAGGCGTATTCAGACTCTGAAAACCTGACCTCCGCCACTTACCAGCCGATTGTGTCCAGGCAAGCCACAATCTCAGAGTATCCACTCACTTATCTGCAGAGTGGGAATATCTATAAATCCCTGGGTGCTGTAAACAGTTGCGGGCAGTCTGCTTCTGTAAAGATTATTGTCAAGAAAAACTCAGGGAGCAACTCTGCTGGGTGACCCGTTTGGGTCACCGGGAGCTGGAATCAACTGGGTGGCCAGAGTCAAAGTGGGCATGTCTCCTTCCCAGGTTTCTTCTGAAGGAGAAAATGAAATGGGGCATTGATCCCGCCCTCTTCAAATGCCCAATGGTAATATTTTTTTAGCCGACTTAACCATTCTTGGGGCTTCACATCCATCATCTCCCTTAATTCTGACAACTCATAAATACATTCCTATTTTTGCCCTCATTTCACAGAGGTAAGTGGGGACCCCAGATAAATTGACAGATGTTCAAGGTCAGACCACTAGATGGCAGACCCAGGGTTTGAACCCAGGTTTCTCAGCTCCAGGGAGTCTGTCTGGCGGAGGCAGGATTTCCCAGTAGGGGAAAAGATAGACAACCTCAGAGAGAGGTTGTTTATTTTTGTTTGGACAACCACGGGTATTGTGTGATTGTTCCAGGGAGAAGTTTGGGCTTTCTGGTCAGGGGAGAGCTGAAGCATTCTAAGCAGAAGTGGTGCCTTCAGGCTGGATTTTCAGGAGGAAAACCTGGTGGAGTGGAGAAGGTGGAGCAGGCAGGTTTAGGGGTGGGCAAGTCATTACAGAAGCGTGGTGGGAAGCTAATCCGTATAATCTCTGAGGGAGCAGGAAGGGAGCAGAGCTAACCTTTGCAGGCAGCCCCTAGGAGGCCTGGGCAGAGAGGAGTTAACCCTGGGCTGCGTATTATCTGGTGAGCGAAAAGGAGGCCCCTAAACGTGACACAGTCCATGCCAGGTGTTAAGGGTACAAACACAAAAGGGTCCTGCTCTCTATAAAAAGATAAACCAGGCTCTCTTGGGGGGAGTGCAGCTGAGCGTGTTACTCTGTTGTGGGCTGAGGAGAGAGCCCGGGGCAGAGCCCTCCGAAGTCTGGCCTTGACTGGGCTGTTGTCTCCAGGTGGTCAGGACACCCAGGGGAGATCTCCTCCTCCTTTGAGTCATCTCTGGGCCCTCTGCACCCACAGACTGCCCTCTCCACGAAGCTTCTCCACCCCCTCCTCTATCTTTCCCAAAGCTCCCAGAGCCGCCACCAGGGGGGCCACAGGTGGGCCCTACCTGGACCCGGTACTCCAGGGGCCCTCCTCAGGAACCAGTGCCCGATTTCCTCTGTCCCTTTGCAACGTCTGATGGGGCAGCCCCTGCAGGACGTCGGGCATGTCACCCCTGAGGAGCTTCCGTGAAAAAAAGTGGTTAGGACTATTCCCCACTTCTAAGGTTGGTCACGCGCCTCCCGACTTCCAGCTGATCTTGGCCCTCTAGGTCCCAGCATCTTCACCTGCAAATTGAAGCCCGGAGCATTTCCCCTGCCCGCCCCTGGGGCTGTTGTGACAAGGCCTGTGTATGTGGTCCATGCCTACGGTATTCTATAGATTCTTAGCAGGATGGGCATTCTGGAAGCTGCCGGAGCTCTTTCGTCTCAGTCTTCCTGGGACACAGGGGGCTGCAGAGAGATACTCTCTATCCCCCGGCTCCTCCAGGGACCCACTCCGGCGGAGCAAGCTGGGTTCTCTCCTGGGCGGGGGTGGTGGTGGAGCACGAGCCACGACTCTTGTCTCCATCTCATTGGCTTTCACCTGCCGGAAGGTCGGTTGCTACCGGCGCGTCGGCGCGTCAATCAGGCCGGCCGGGTCCGCCCCGCCCCTCCCGGGGGTTCATAACGGGAATTCCCATGGCTCCAGCGCTCTGTCCAACCTGCTGCCGCCTGGGTCCGGCCGAGCGCGGCAGGCGCCACGCGCAGAGCACTCGCTAGCGCTCCGATCCCCTCTCGGGACGCTTCCCGAGCTTGTCGTTTGCTCGCAGCTTCCGACCGACAGCGGCCGCCGCCTGACCGCTGCTTGCTCCCCGGACACCTCCAGGGCCCGCGAGTGCGAGCTGGCTGGCAGGCGCGGTGTGCACCCCGCGGAGCCTCCGACCCCTGCCCGCTACCCTGCCCGGCTGGGACCATGCTGCCTGCGCGTTGTGCCCGCCTGCTCACGCCCCACTTGCTGCTCGTGTTGGTGCAGCTGTCTCCGGCTCCCGGCCACCGCACTGCTGGTCCCAGGGTAAGTGCGCCCCCAGTTGCGCA